AATTGGAGGAGGAGTAGTGCCCCATTATTGCTATCAAGGAATATTGGCCCATCATTGAGGTTAGTGGATGGAATATTGGCCCATCATTGAGGTTAGTGGATGGAATATTGACCCATGATTGAGGTTAGTGGATGGAATATTGGCCCATCATTGAGGTTAGTGGATGGAATATTGGCCCCTCATTGAGGTTAGTGGATGGAATATTGGCCCCTCATTGAGGTTAGTGGATGGAATATTGACCCATCATTGAGGTTAGTGGATGGAATATTGACCCATCATTGAGGTTAGTGGATGGAATATTGACCCATCATTGAGGTTAGTGGATGGAATATTGACCCATCATTGAGGTTAGTGGATGGAATATTGGCCCATGATTGAGGTTAGTGGATGGAATATTGACCCATCATTGAGGTTAGTGGATGGAATATTGGCCCATCATTGAGGTTAGTGGATGGAATATTGGCCCCTCATTGAGGTTAGTGGATGGAATATTGGCCCATCATTGAGGTTAGTGGATGGAATATTGAGCCATCATTGAGGTTAGTGGATGGAATATTGGCCCCATCATTGAGGTTAGTGGATGGAATATTGACCCATCATTTAGAGGTTTGAGCCATCATTGAGGTTTAGTGGATGAATATTGGCCCCATCATTGAGGTTAGTGGATGGAATATTGACCCATCATTGAGGTTAGTGGATGGAATATTGGCCCCTCATTGAGGTTAGTGGATGGAATATTGACCCATCATTGAGGTTAGTGGATGGAATATTGGCCCCTCATTGAGGTTAGTGGATGGAATATTGGCCCATCATTGAGGTTAGTGGATGGAATAAGGCCCCATCATTGATATTAGTGGGAAGAATAGTGTCCCATTGCTGGTATCAGTTGGGGGAGTTATGCCCCACTCTTGGTGTCAGTGATAGGAATAGTGCCCCAAGGACCGGATAAAGGGAAGCAAAGGGCTGCATCCAGTCCTGGAGAGCAGTGACCTAGAGCTTGGAGGAATTGAAGAGATGACTATTACAGCACACTGGTGGTGGATTTGTATGGACGCTTAGGAGGAGATTGTAGAAGCTTTATGTTTTTTATATTATAATTATTTTACGTTAATTTATGTGATTGTGCTGCATTTTATGTATTGCATATTTGCAAGACAGTTTATCAAACACAAATTTTCTGTAAAAAGTAAGGAATGGGGAATCAGATGTGGGCAGGACAGAGGAGGGGGATCAGTGAGGTTTGTGGAGGGGGGGGGGGGTCAATTACAGGAACTATGCCCTGTGTTCTCTGCAGCAGCTGAAAGCTGGTAGGAGGGAAATGGGGGAAACCAGCTTTCAGCTGCTGCAGAAAGCCACGCAGGGCATAGCTCCTGTAATTGCCCCCCACTGCACCGGTCTGATCTCCTTCCCATCCTGCCCACATCTGATTCCCCCTACTGTATTTTTCACCCCCGGTGTGCTGAAACACTCCTACAGGAGGACCGGTGGTACCCCCATATCAGCGGCTTCGGGTGCATGAAAGTGATCTGGTGACTGTAATGCCACCTGATCACTTCCACTTGACAGCCAACTTGCTAGGTTTCCAAACATTTTAGGCTGCTTTATTAGTTGGAAGTGTGTATAAAACATTCCCGCTTATGACAGCGAAAGTGTAAACTCAAACTGGCTTCTTGCTATCAATTTCACCTTCTGGTAACAATTGCTGCTCTTAAAGCGTATTTCCACTTTTGGTGTCAAATTTGAGAAAAACTCCACTATACGTTTGTGAGGTGACCCCATTCACACAGCATACCTAAAGAAACTAAAAAATATAGGTTTATACCTTTTAGATGTTTCTTAGCAGAAGGCGGCATGACCAATTCTAGAAATTCCTGAGAACTTCACAATGACTCTGTCCCACATAGACTCCTCTAACGTATAAAACAAGAAGGTGGTCTCTACTTTTTTAACCCTTTGTCAGGACAGTGTTCAGATCTAGTTTACAGCCGATAAAGAAGAACTGCAAACACCGTACAGACAGATATTATTATGTTTTACATGGCTCCACAGCCCCCTCCTGAACATCACAAAGCAGGGAGAGCATGGAAGGATGTTCAACCACTTTACTGCTGGGCTATAGCCAAATGGCGGCTACAGCATGGTAGTCCAGTTCTGGAAGGTTGTCTTATGACGTCCTCTCAGAACGTGCCCCCCCCTCCCCGCACGTGCCCCCAGTGGTGAGCATGGAAGGATGTTCAACCACTTTACTGCCGCGCTATAGCCATATGGCGGATACAGCACGGTTGTCCAGTTCTGGGAGGTTGTCACATGACGTCCTCTCAGAACGTGCCCCCCCTCCCCGCACTTGCCCCCAGTGGTGAGCATGGAAGGATCTTTAACCACTTTACTGCTGCGCTATAGCCAAATGGCGGCTACAGCACGGTAGTCCAGTTCTGAGAGGTTGTCATATGACGTTCTCTCAGAACGTGCCCCCCCTCCCTGCATGTGCCCCCAGTGGTGAGCATGGAAGGATGTTCAACCACTTTACTGCCGTGCTATATCCAAATGACGGCTACAGCATGGTAGTCCAGTTCTGGGAGGTTGTCATATGACGTTCTCTCAGAATGTGCCCCCCCTCCCTGCACGTCCCCCCACTGGTGAGCATGGAAGGATGTTCAAACACTTTACTACCATGCTATAGCCAAATGATGGCTACAGCATGGTATTCCAGTTCTGGAAGGTTGTCACATGACATCCTCCCAGAATGCACCCCTCTTCTCCCCACGTGCCCCCCAGTGGTGAGCATGGAAGGATGTTTAACCACTTTACTGCCTCACCAAATCCAAATGATGGCTACAGCACAGTAGTCCAGTTCTGGAAGGTTGTCATATGAGGTCCTCTCAGAACGTGCCCCCCCTCCCCGCACGTGCCCCCAGTGGTGAGCATGGAAGGATGTTTAACCACTTTACTGTCGCGCTAAAGCCAAATGATGGCTACAATACGGTAGTCCAGTTCTGGGAGGTTGTCATATGACATCCTCCCAGAGCTCACCCCTCCTCTCCCCACGTGCCCCCAATGGTGACCATGGAAGGATGTTTAACCACTTTACTGCCACACTATATATAAATGACTGCTACAGCATGGTAGTCCAGTTCTGGAAGGTTGTCATATGACGTCCTCTCAGAACGTGCCCCCCTCCCCGCACTTGCCCTCAGTGGTGAGCATGGAAGGCTGTTTAACCACTTTACTGCCGCGCTATAGCCAAATGGCGGCTACAGCACGGTAGTCCAGTTCTGGGAGGTTGTCACATGACGTATATGATACAATATATATATAAATTGTAAAGGTTTATTTAATCGTTAAATAAAAAGCATTTCATTGTCTGGGCGGGCATACACGTTAAATCCACACAGTTGGAAAATAGATGATAAATTAAGTTCCCAATTTTGTAAAATTTGTCTGCTATGGTTGATGCTCATCCTGTGCCGTGTTTTCTCTCCCTATAGGTCACTCGCTCTCTTGTCCACAGTGTTCTTCTCCTTTAGGCTCATGTACCGGCCCCAGAGTGACGTGTCCTTCTGACTCTGTGTGTGGAGCTCACTATAGAGAGAGCTGGGCTCAAGGTAAGATACTCAGTAAAAAAAAAATGCTGTGTAATTTATGTCCGAGTTTCACAAGCGTCAGTTCACATCAGAGGCCTCCGGATCCTTAACTGCTCCAGTTTTCTTTTGTTGAATAAAATGTTGTTTTCACCTTTTTCATCATACAGCTACTGATCTCCCCCCAGCCTGTCTACATACAGTACATGTGCTCTATAGGTGGCTTCATGCCCAGGGGCGGACTGACCATTTGGAAACTCAGGCACTGCCCGAGGGCCCGGGGTCAGTAGGGGGCCCCATGAGATGCCCCTGGTACCTTTTTCATAGGCTTTTTTGAGTTTGGGTAAGACACAGGGGCCCCATGATCCCCTATTGCCCGGGGGCCCCATAACTTGTCAGTCCGCCCCTGTTCATGCCATTTTTCAAGGCGGGCTTTCTGATGGTGACAACTGCAGTACATGGCTGTACATTGAGCATCTGCACAGCCGCTTGTAGTCTCCATTTGTGATGAGCTAAGGTTTGGGCTGAACCCAGTTCAGATTCTGCAGGGAGCTTTCACGTGATAGCAGGGCTGCTACTGGAAACCGCAGGGCCCCACAGGACCAACCTGACAAGCCCCCCTGAAAAAAAAACAAAGTTTACAATGCTTCAGGCATGAATGAACACAGTGAGTGATCAGTGCTGATCACTCATTGTGTTCATTCGGGAAAGGAAGGAGGTAGCAAATGTAGCATATTTACCAGATTCTTCCCCCACTCTCCATCATGAAGGATCCTATTGTGTACTTGAAACTGGCAGTGGGAAGGAGAGGAGGGAAGCCAGCAGCAGCACTGGGTGGGGGGGGGGGGGGGGGGGGGGACACACGGAGGGGCCATAGCAGAAAGGGGAAATGTATGGTGCATAGGGAGGGTGATGGGTGCGACATGGGGAAATTACTGGAACCAATCCCCTGTATGTCTTTCTCTGCAGCGGCTGAAAGCCAGTGGGAGAGAGAGGTGAAGAAGCCAGCTTTGAGAGCCATACTGGCAACTGGTTCCAGTAATTGTCCCCACCCCCGCTGTGCCGATCATCCTCCCTGCCCACATCTGATTCACCACCCAGCTGCCTGGACCTCCCTCCTGGACTAGGCAGGAGGACTGGTGGTGCCCACTTAACCACAGCCCTGAATGATAGCAAACCGTTTCCCACCCTGCAATGCACGTAATAAAGGGTTGGGGACAGGGGCCGACTGACAACTCATGAGGCCCCCGGGCAATAAAGGATCATGGGGCCCCTGTGTCCTTGCCCAAACTCAAAAAAGCCTATGAAAAAGGTACCAGGGGCATATCATGGGGCCCCTACTGACCCCAGGCCCTCGGGCAGTGCCCGAGTTTCCAGATGGTCAGTCCGCCCCTAGTTGGGGATGCTGGTGACATCTTTGACCTAATGTGACCACATGGCCATATTTGGCCAATGACATTGTCCAAACATGGTCATGGGGTCATGTTTGGATAATGCTATCAGCCACCATCCTCACCCCTTTGTTACATCGGCAGCTGATTGGGAGGTTGGGTGGTTACTTGACCACAGAGGGGCTGGTGACCGACATAGCCTGCATGATGTTATACAGGCATACGAGGGGCCTTCAAGTCAAATCGGGACTTTTGAGTTTATATAACTAAAAGATCAAATTTCAAGAAGTGGAAACTGCATTTATTTTTGACATACTCCCCTGCTACATTTATACACTTATCCCAGTCTTTAACGAATGCCTGGAAAGCTGAGGCATAGGGCTGCACTATACAGAGGAGCCTGTATTAGTGCCACTTCCACCTTCCACATACGTATATATTTACTATATCTGCTTGCTGACCCGTCGCATTTGTACTTTGGCAGGCTGGCTCGTACAGGCACGGTCGCGTCCCTGTGCATCATGGCTTTCTTGTGCATTTGTGCATGGACCCGGAAGACTGTGTTGTCATTGAACTGCAGCACAAGCTGATCAGCTGATTGGCTTGGCAAATGACAGAAGAAAGCTCTGTGTTGGTAAACAACACAAAGCTCTCTTCATACAGCAGCAATGAACTGATTTTTTTTTCCTTTCTGCAAAGCAGGGAGTAAAAACTGGCATATTGTTTAGTAAAACAGCACACAGTAAAACCCATTAAACATTGTTAGGCACACATTAAAACCCCTTGATGTTAACACCCTTTCCCGGCCAGTGTCATTAGTACAGTGACAGTATGTAATATTATCAGTGATCACTGTATTAACCACTTTAAGTCCGTCCTATAGCAGATTTTCTGCTACAGTGTGGATGATCTGTGCAAAATCACATATATAAACTTGATTTTGCACTTGCATTGTAGGGGCATGCACGCTGCTGGAGCACCGCTTCTGCTGTGATTAGACACAGCAGAAACCAATCAACAGGTGCCAGCTAATGGATTTTTTTTTTTTTATATTTGGGTCTTTTTTAATATCAGAAAAAATAAAAAAAAAACCCAATGGTGATCAAATACCACCAAAAGAAAGCTTTATTTGCGTGAAAAAAACTAGATGCATTTTGTTTGTGTATGTAGCACTTCCCCCGTAGGAACTATTGAGTTTTGTTTGGGTCCCCGCCAGGAGCGGACTGACCATTTGGAAACTTGGGCACTGCCCGAGGGCCCGGGGTCAGTAGGGGGCCCGATGAGATACCCCTGGTATCTTTTTCATAGGCTTTTTTGAGTTTGGGCAAGGACACAGGGGTCCCATGATCCCCTATTGCCCAGGGGCCCCATGAGTTGTCAGTCCGCCACTGGTCCCCGAAAGCTTTGCCCTGCCAGGCAACCCACATTTTCCACATCTCCACACACAGAGTCAGTAAAACAGTCCTTGAGCTGTTTTTTTTTTTTTTTTTTTTTTTTTTATTAGGAGTAATAACTTTGATGGGGTTTAGGAGTATATGGGTTGCCCAAAGAACATTGTGTCAACCTGTACACTGCACAAAAATGTGGATTAGAACAATAGCATTGTCTCTTTATGGAGCACTGAAGTCCCCTTTATGTACCTTCTCAGACCCCGGATGAGTTCTTCCTCTTCACTCAGTTGCTCTGAGGATATCCTTGGGCAAGAGATTCCAAGATCTGTCAATTAAGTACTAGTTGGGTATTGCTCCTGACCACCCTCTCTTTTATCTGGCCCAGGGGGTGTAGGAGTACTCACACACTCCTATCCTGTTAGCTTGATGGGCTGTAGCTGCTTTCAGGCTTTTCGCTGGGCTGGCTCCTTCCCGGCTGACAGGTTGTCCTCCCAAGGAGACAGTGGAGATCCTTCTGTCCAGCAACCAGCCTTGAGGTAGGCCTCCTCCCTGAGGCCCCGTCCCAGACTCCACACTCTAGCGTTCTCTCAGTCCATCTTCCACCCGACTCCCCTGCTGTTCAAGCTATGCCACATTTCAGGGTTGACTTTGGCCACTATACCCGGACTCTGCCTGGGGATTGGCCAAGTTCCCCTAAACATGCAAATCTGGGCCTCCTTCCCTCCTTCGCCCCTTAGAAGTTTCTGGAACATTGGGAGGGCTCCAGAAGCCCTGACCTGTAGAGCCTCCCAGCCTGTCCTAAGGTGAACCCACTACCTCACTCCCAGGCTGACTCATCCCAGGCTGCTACCCAGCCGCTGACTAGCAAAAGTAACAAAGCCTATTACTAGAGGGCACTACATGTACAACGTTGCATGATTGCCCAATTGCCAGTAAAAGTAGTAGTAGTAGTTGCCATTTTTGTTTCACATTAAACATTTGTTTATTTTCCTTGCAGAAAATGATTTTGTTTGCTTACTTGTAGGTATCGTTCTTACCAGATCATATGAGATGTCATGCATGACGCAGGACATGTGTGACATGAGAGGAAGTGTCAGCCTTCCTAAAAATAGCAGAGTGAAGATGAGTACATCGTGTTGTACAACTGATGGATGCATCCCGCCTCGTCCTTCCCGTAAGTGACTATCTGGTGCCTTCATGTAAACAGCTAAACACACATATGTGGCTGATTTACCTGCCAAAGGATTTGTATTCCTGTCAATCCAGTTCTGAGATTTACAGAGCTCTGCCACATGACACAGTCCTCAAATATACAGTCCAATGTAAGTGCCAAACACACATCCAAGAGACCAAAGTTTATAGCACAAAATTTCAATGCATTTTTGGAGGTCGAACCAACCCCACTCATCAGGAATACAAAACAAATACATAAAGTCAGAAATATATAGAAAAAAGTAAAAGTCTGAAATATAAAAATTAATATGCAGATTAAACAATTATGGTTTTAAAAAAAAAAGACAATGTTTGCATTTTTGTTTTATGGTAATAAATTTAATTTTTTAGATTTTTTTTTTTTATTTTTTTTTTTCATTTGCATTTGTTTTGTAGTCCTGATGAAGGGGGAGTCAGTCTGCCCCCAGAACCCATAGGATTTTTTCTGCTCTGAACCAGCTTTATTAATTAAACTTTGGACGTGCGTTTGGCGCTGTCATTGGCCTGAATATTGGTAAATTCTTGAATCTGAGTTTTCGTCCATTTTCTAAGGCGTATCCCCATTCTGCTAAATTGGAGCTAGCTGATGGACCCCGTAACGGAACCGACCGCGGACTGCACCTGGGTACTTCCGTTAGACTACCGCTTTCCCATCCAAACACCGACCACAGACACAGACGACCAGACAAGACTAGATGACACCAGTCTTGAAGTAAACCAGAGTAGACTACTTTATTTGAACACAGATACAAGATATATACACTCAGGAGACAAACCCACCCTCCCTGCATAAGGACTCAGGGCACGGCAATCTACATTTAGTAACAAGAGACACAACAACAGACAGTCCCATCAGGAGGGAGGGCTGCTGGAGACAACCCCCACTAAGATAATACACATAAACACATACATCCCATAATAGTTTGTTCCCAAGCAAGACACACAATAGAACAACGGAATGCAACCACATAACACCAAACAATCCACAACCCCCCAACCCAATATTAGGACAGATCACTCTTTACCCCTAACAGACACAGGGTGACTTACACATAATAGGGATATGGGGAGTTGAGATAGGGGTCTCCCCACCTCTCCAAAGTGAGCTGGGTTCCATGGGCCCCCCACCCAAAATGACTCCCGTGACAGACCCCTTGAAAATCTGTACCCAGCACCTTGATTTTAACATGTATATCCTAAATCATTCTGAAGTAGCAGACATAAATGGAAGTAATGTATGTCAACTTCCATTACTCAGCGTTAGAACATTTATTCTGTCCCTGTTGTGAGGAACATATTTTATTAATCCCTGTGACATCATCACCAGACTTCACCAGTAAAATTCTTGCATGCTCAGCTGCTGGGAGGTCAGTTCCTACTGGCATAGGTATGTCTTCAGAACTACATCTCCCAAGAGCCCTATTCCTACACACACAATGTGTATGAAGGATCTTTGAACTCTTGTTCTAGAGAAAAAAAAACATTATGGGGAGAGGGACAGAGAGGAATGGGAAAAGGTGGAGTTCTGTTGTCCAGTAAGCAGGTCAGATATGATTGGGTTCGGTTGGGATGGTTGGGATTTTAGTACAGTAGAAACACTGTTTTCAGCCCAGACAGAAAGTTAAGAGCAAGATCAACATGTATTTTTCTGTACTTGCAAATTTTCTTTAAGGGGATACAGCATGGGGAATTTATGTCTGCTGCTGGGCTGTTACCAACCTCAGCTTATGTCCCCAACTCTGTTCCTCTGGACCTTTGTCTATCCAATGTGACCTCAGCCTTTCTCCTGCCTTATACAGGCCATTACCAACCTCAGGTTGTATCACCGACTCTGTTCCTGTCTTCTGATTTGGTACCGACCACCTGGTTCTTTCTGACATCAGCATGTGTCTTGGTTACATTACTGTCTCTTGTCCTAGTATATAGATGTTCCTGTTGCTGGTTTGTGACCCATGCTCCATAGTCATCTGACCTACATAACAACAGCCATAGAGATTTGGTACTGCCTACTACCCTTGAACTCATGCCACTCCGTGTCCTCACACTCCCAGGGGTGTTGGACAAGAGGTGTGTAGCAGGACCATGAAAATGTGTAGGCGCTCTTGGTCCCCTTGGTGCACAGAATACCAGCCCACCTGGCTATGGTATCTGATCCCAGGACAAGGGATTGGGTAAACTATGAACTGTCCCCTGAAGACTTGCCAAGAACTTGCATCCAGCAGACTTCTCCATTCCAGACCCTGGGGGTGTAGAGGTACTCACACTGTCCTTGCCCTGCAGCTGTGGATAGAACTGCTTTCAGGCCTTCTAGCTATGCTTGTTCCTCTCCAAGCTTTGTTGGTTGTCCCTCCCTGGTGGATGGCAGGGCATTGGAAATTCCTTCTTCAGCTTCTCTTCAGCTTCCAGGATCCAACCTGGAAGTAGAACCCCCTGCTCTGGGGCTCCCTCCCAGGCAACACCACAACACCTCTCAGAAATCCATCTTCCACCTGACTCTCCTGCTAGCAT